ATAAATACTATTCTTTTTAACCTTCTATTCATCAAAGAATCCTGAATAAAAGGTTTCCACAAAAATATGCAGCAGCACAACTGTTTTCAACAAAACAGTTATAATAGAATAATAATAATAAATGTTTCTTGAGCAGCAAATCAGCATTATTTCTGAAGGATCATGTGACACTGAAGACTGGAGTAATGATGCTGAAAATTCAGCTTTGATCACAGAAATAAATTACATTTTAACAGAGATTCACATAGAAAACAGCTATTTTAAATAGTAATAATATTTCACATTTTACTGTATTTTTAGACCAAATAAATGCAGCCTTGGTGAGCAGAAGAGACTTCTTTCAAAAACATTATAAAACCTTACAAACCCCAGACTATTAGTGTATAACAATGAATAATAATATGTAGGACCAATTATTATTGTTAGGTGTATTAATTTAAATAATTAATGAAAAGTATATATATATAATGATTTTAATGTTTATTTTTAGTTAAAATACCATTGATTACAATAAACCGTAAGTATTCTAAATCATCTCCTTGGCAGTTTCTCACCTTGAAATCTTATTGAAATCTTTTTTTTTCTTTCTGATTTTTAATTATTATGTCTCTAATAGTCTATAAGTCTAAAAGGTCTGCAGAAGGTCTGCAAAGTATTTATTCCATCATCTTTCCTCATATAGTGAACTTTGTGACGTCATGTGTTCAACACCATGGTGAGATGTCATGATATACATCAGCAGAGCAAAATAATTCGTTTTCCACTCTGTATTTCTACAGGAGCTCAGAGTCTCATGCATCATGCTGACGCTCACGTCAAAACCACAGCAGGTGTAGATACAGCAGATACTGACCACACTGTCTGAACAAACAGATCAGATCTCAGTCATCGCCTGAGAAATGACAGCGTCGACTGACAGATCAGATCTGAAAAACAAATATCTGTGTGTGTGTGTAATCATGCTTGATTAGTCTTTATCTGTCCAGAGCTTCTGTAATTAAAACATACAGGACGTCCGGCCCGCCCACACTCGTCCTGTCTTGCACTCTGATTGGTCGAGCCAATCAGACCATATTTAGTGTTTAATATACAGTTATGAATCTTACCCATTAAACACACGTTGACCTTATCATGAGTATTTTACAGTACATGACTCTTTCCACACGTTTTCCAGTCCCTGTTTTTCATATTCCCGTGTTTGGAGTTGTCCGTCTCGCTCCGGTTGTCGCTCGCGCGGGTTTCCGCAGGGATTTTCTGACAGGATCAGGGGAATTACAGGCGATACTCTGAGCTGAAATCAGTCAGAGAGAGAGAACGAGAGAAAAGGAAAGTTTGCTCCGCAGGAGCTCATTACTCTCACTGAATGCTGGTATATTAATAACAAGAGCTTTGACATGTAGATTCAATTCACTAGCATAATCACACATGAGAGGAAAGATTACACAGCGAAAGAGGGGAAGACGGCACAGCTGTACAACCAAGAGAAAATATGAAGGAAAAATAGATTTTCAGTGATTTCTGCACCATTTAGGAACATGCTGTGCATGATATTACAAAATAAGCACATTTAATAAGCTAAAGCCCTATATTTGAGCATATATGTTTGGTTCTTAAAGGGGACATAACACACACAGTTTCACCCAATCTCATGTTAATCTTGAGTCTACATAACGCTGGGTTCTTTAGGAAGCTGAACAAAGTTATCTTTCCCTTACAACCAAAAACACACTTCTTTGGATTGGAGACATTCTTCCTGAACAAGTCCCGTGTAGCGCTGCCGCCGGATGAAGCGCGTTGATGGACGCTATCTCGCTCTCGCTCTCGCTCTGGTCGATGTGTTCGCAGGCGCGCTCTTCTGGGAGAAATGCCCATATAAGGAGTTCCACCCTCGTCTACGTCATGAAGAGCCACGATCGAAAAAAACTCTCAGAAACTTGTACGAACCCGGAAGTAAGATTTTTGGCACATAAATACTCCATCATACGTCCAAATAGTTTTTTGAAACTTTGTCCATGCTTAGCATGAGAATCCAACTCTTTAACAGTGTAAACAACTCTGAATGTATGAAACAGCATTGTACCCCCCCCTCTCTCCATTTGATCCGCTGAAACGGGTTCATGTTTTCTGTGCCACAGAAGCTCCTGACCTGGAGAAACGAGAATAACCTCGTTCTTTATTCATGCTTCAGTGACACGAGCTGCTGTTTCCCCATAGATAAACCAGCACAGTCCACTTATGAATTAGTTTAGGTTTTAAAAAGACACAATGAAGCTCCATTCATGGTTGATTTTAGTAGAGCAGGTTTAGTTGAACTATCCAGTGTGGGTGTTATTCATCCTAAATAGTATGTGAGATAAACAGCATAAAAGTTAAATAATAATAAAAACATTTTTTAACTCTGTTTGTGAGTGTGAGTGTGTGTGTGAGAGTGTGTGTGAGAGTGAGTGAGTGAGTGAGTGTGTGTGTGTGTGAGGGGGGGGGTGGGTGGGTGTGGGGGTGTGTGTGAAACAGCGGCCATCAGTTAAAGTTATGTAAAGTTGTGTGTGTGTGTGTGTGTGTGCGAAACACTTCACTTGACTGTAATACTGTGGATGTGTGTCTCTGAAAGCAGCTCTTTTGCTGATGGTGGTGTATAGGTCTGTGCTGGCGTTAGCGAGCCGCAGTATTCAGTGCTGTCAGAGAGTAATAGATGAGCGGGGCGTCCCGGCACATCTGCACAGGAAGATAACACACACACACAGAGAGAACGGCTCATGAAGAACACAGAATGCACTGAGAGATAGAAAGAGATGAGGCTCGGGGTTTCCACTGGTTGAGCTTCTGCACATCAGATGGGCTTCACTTACATACTGCCACATAAATCAGGGTTTTCATTACCATATCTTGAGTGAGCGGACAGGCCTGGATTTATTGCGTGCATATTTGAGTGTGTGCGTGTGTGTTTTCTGGACTGAATTAGTGCAAATAAATCAGTAGCATTGGTCATCTTGAGTAACTAAAAGTCCTGTGAAGGTCATCAGGATTTAAACGAAATAAGCATGATTGTAGATAATAACTGATGATGAGCAAATGAGTTTTCATTTTTTAGCTCATAATCTTTATATTTTCTCTTAAAGGGACAGTTTACCTGAAAATGAAAGTTCAGTCATCACTTTCTCACCCTCATGTTGTTCAAAACCAGTATGACTTTCTTTACACAAGATACACTGCAAAAAATAATCTCTCTTTTATTTACAACTTCACAACAATTATTTTTTATAGTGTAAATAAAACAAATATTGTTGTATTATTATACTATTTCAGTCTTTCTGCTTAAAATCTCATATTTATTTCAATGTGTTGCTGTTTTTTGTAAGTATTTATTAAACATACTAACAGTTTCTGAGTGAAAATTGTTGCAACATTAATTTCTAACATTTTTTTTTGTGTATTTTGAACCCAGTATTAAATCTCATAGATATTTAGATTATAATGTTCTTCAAAAAATGTGTTGACATTTTTAGGTGAACTATCGGTGAACTGTGGTTTGGGATGATGGAAACAGATCAATGAAACTAATAACAGCAGTGTGTTATTTATGTCACAGGCCGTTATTGACCAGCTGCACTGAGTCCAGCTCTGCTTTCCATTACAATCAATACTGATCAATAAATTACAGTCACCATATGAATACACAGAAAATGAGATCTCTTGAAAGCACAATTGTTTCTCCTAATCAGCAATGAGATTAAATGCACAACAGATGGACACTTGCTGTGAGAGATGAGAAAAATCTCTCATGAGATCTCAACAACATTCATGTGAGAGCTTTTACTGTACTCTTACTGTACTGTGTCTCACTTTTGTCTGTTTTTATTTCTCCAAAGGAACTGCATGAGAAACATCTGAGACAAAGCCAGTGTTGTTAGTGTTAACTAAAACTATTAAAAATCAACATTTTCTAATTGAAACGAGGCTGAAATTAAATAAAATACAAATAGAAGATGGAAAAACTTAAATCAGGAATGTTTTTGGAAACTAACTGAAATAGGTAAGTTTAATTTAAAGTACTAAAAAAAAACTAAAAAAATTTAAGCTAAATTTAAAAAAAGTCAAACACATATTAATGAATAAATAAAATATAAATATGAGGATTAGATGATAAACAATTTAACAAAATCACAACAAAATTAGTAAAACTTAAACTAAAAGTATAAAAATAAAAGCTAATTAATATTAATAAATGCTAAGACAGTATATAAATTATACAAAAATGCCACTGGAAAAAGATGATACTTAACAGAGCTCTGAAAAATCTTCATTTATTAGTTGTTTTATATATTTCTTTTAATGTTTTTATGTCTTTTAAAACATCAGAGTTTAAATTAGTTTGTTGTTAAGCATGAAAATCAAGCGAATGGTGGGATGGGAGACAAACATACCAGTGTTATTTTAGTATTATTGAGATACTATTATAAGTTTTATTAATATTGTGAATCAGTTTTTATTTTTAGATTTATTTTTTATATATATGTGTCTATATGGTTTTTATTCATCTTTATTTCAGTTTTAGTTTGAGTTATTTTAGTACATCAAGTTGTTTATTTATTTTAGTACATCAAGTACATCAAACAAGAAATGTTGCCTTGGCAACTAGCTGAAATAAAAAGTGTTTCATATTGTATTTTATTTCAGTTAATGTTTATTTCAAATCAAGTAATAGAAATGCTTTTTTTAGGGTTTTAATTTGAGCTTTAGTTAACTACAGTAACCCTGAAACACACACTTTCTCTGTATATGCTGTTTCACACCTGTGTTGTCAGCATTTGTCACGTGTGTGTGTGTGTGTGTGTGTTCCTGTAAGGGGTAGGGTTGGTGTAGGGCAATAGCACATACAGTTTGTACAGTATAAAAACCATTACGCCTATGGAATGTCCCCACAATTCACAAAAACAAACCTGTGTGTGTGTGTGTGTGTGTGTGAAGTATAATGTGGTTTCTTGTTTCCCTCTGATGGTGAGCTCACAGTCTTTCTCGGCGTGTGTCTGCAGGCAGTGTGGTGTATCTGGGAATGATGGTGGGCGCGTTCTTCTGGGGCGGTCTGTCAGATAAGGTGGGTCGACGGCAGTGTCTGCTGGTGTGTATGTCAGTCAACGGCTTCTTCGCCTTCCTGTCATCCTTCGTTCAGGGCTACAGCACCTTCCTCTTCTGCAGGATGCTCTCGGGGTTTGGGTGAGTTCATAGTCCATCCGTCTTCTGCTTTCATGAGCTTTCCTTTACTTAGCTAATGACTGCGGGTTCATTAACTGCTCCGTGAGGAACGATCACTGATGACGTGCGGGAAAGGTCATTCAGAGCGTTCTTAATAGAAGAGAATAGCGTTAAAACTTAACTACACTCTAAAAAATGCTGGGTTTTTTCAACCCAACTTTGGGTCAAATATGGACTAACCCAAATTTTGGGTTAAGAATTTAATAAAAAAAATTAAACCAACAGCTGGGTTAGTCCACATTTGACCCAAAGTTGGGTTGAAACAACCCAGTATTTTTTTAGAGTGTAATAGATATCACCATACTTACCCTGCTGATTAATCACGGTACATTAAGATAAAAGTTTTCTGAAATGTTATGTTTAAATATGCAAACGAGGCATTATCTAATTAAATACACACTAATTTGCATACATCTAAAGCAGAATTATTATAGTTAACTAAAACCATAAAAAAGCATTTTTGTTATTTGAAATAAAATAGATGAATGTAGAAAAACTTATTTTAATTCAGCTTTCACATTTTCATCTAGTTTAAATTGAAGTACTAAAATAACTAAAACTAAATAAACTAAAACTAATCAATAAAAATTAAACAGACATAACTGAATATTTAAAAAAATACAAATAAAAATGACAAAAACACAACAAAATTACTGAAACTTTAACTAAAACTAAAGTGAAAACAGAAAATCTAAAAATAAAATCTAATTTCAAAATATTAACAAAAACTGTAATAGTATATCAATGATACTAAAATAACACTGGAATAAAGCCAGGCTCAAAATCCATGCATTGAAATCTGCAGATGCATATAGATAAAGTGCAATAAAATAAAGACTTAAATGTGTGTTTTTGATGTTTTCTTTCCACTAGTCTGAAAGAAGATTAATGTTAACAGGCCAACATCTCAAAATTGACCAGTGTATGAAAAAAAAGCTTTTCCTGTAGTGTCTCGCCTTAAAGGTGAAGCATGTCATTTCTGCACCATTAAGGGCAAAAAAGTAAAATGCAAAGTAAAATGCAGAGCCATTCAAATTTAGCATTTGCTGTCTTTAAATTCTGTTGGGATGAATGTACATGAACCTACCAAATGCTTGAATAATTATCCATGAGAAGCTCAGGATTTCATTCAGGAACACGCACTATCTCAGTTAATTAAAGAATCCTGGTGCAGTCAATTTGCATTGGTCATATGAAGTTTAAATTTATGCATGCATTTATTTATGCATGGAATTTTTAAAGAATTTAATTATTATGCATACAATGTTATACATTTAAATGTATGCATTTTCTGTCCTGTAAAAGAATAGCAATAAACTACCCATTTCCCAGCATTCCCACTTTTTGAACTCACTCATAGGAAGTCAAATGTTTTGAAAGCGTCAGTGTTTCACTCTTCAGGGAGTCAAAACACAAATAACTGACTTATAGTGACTTTTAACATTAAACTGATGGTATTTATAATTTTATGGAGGCGTTCACAAGTAAAATGCAAAGTAAAATGCAGAGCCATTCAAATTTAGCCTTTGCTGTCTTTAAATTCTGTTGGGATGAATGTACATGAACCTACCAAATGCTTGAATAATTATCCATGAGAAGCTCAGGATTTCATTCAGGAACACTCACTATCTCAGTTAATTAAAGAATCCTGGTGCAGTCAATTTGCATTGGTCATATGAAGTTAAAATTTGTGCATGCATTTATTTATGCATGGAATTTTTAAAGAATTTAATTATTATGCATACAATGTTATACATTTAAATGTATGCATTTTCTGTCCTGTAAAAGAATAGCAATAAACTACCCATTTCCCAGCATTCCCACTTTTTGAACTCATAAATAGGAAGTCAAATGTTTTGAAAGCGTCAGTGTTTCACTCTTCAGGGAGTCAAAACACAAATAACTGACTTATAGTGACTTTTAACATTAAACTGATGGTATTTATAATTTTATGGAGGCGTTCACATGTGTTCAGCTCGATTATTTGGACCAGATTTTAAATCAGCCTTTGATTTCGATGTGATATTGATATATGATCTCATGTAATAATAAACATTCACTGTTAAGCAAATAAATGCATCAAGTTCCAACATTGCATGATAAATAAATCTGTTGCAGATTTTTATGTAGACAGATATGTTTTCAGATAATGGTACATGTGCAAAAGAAATGCTAGCACTGACATTTTGTTCCTTTTGAATCATTTTCCGAGTATTGGACCACTTCAGGACGGTAGGAATATCCCACATCCGACTTAAAAACTATGATAAAACACAGAATTGAACACACACACACACACACACACACAGAGAGAGAGAGACACCAGCTCTGAGTGACACACACCCACTCTCAGTCAGCTCTTCTGCAATGTCACAGTTGTTTTAACCTCCTGGCACAGACCCATAACTTAAGAGGAGAGAGAGCGAGAGCGAGTCGGGAACAGCGGAGGGTTTTATTGCTAATTGAATTTCAGCGTCGTCTCCTGCCCTTGCAGTAGTGCAGTGACTCCAGACTGAATCAGCGTCTCGAGCAGACACTCACAGCCGGGGTCAAAGGCCACGCCGACTGCAACAGACGGTGTTCAAAAATAGCTCGATGAACTACTAAGGAAGAAACTGTGCTGAATTTAACTGAAATACTTTAAAAAATGAATTAAATTGATCAAATGTGACTGTTACAAAAGTGTTCATAATGATAAAAAAATTCTATTTCAAATAAATGATAGATGTATATTTATAAATATAAACTTTAATAATAAGTATGTATGATATGTGTATATATAATGTGAGATGCAAAACCTGTTTCCACTCTAATAACATTTCTAATAATAGAAATATGCTGCAGAGATGAATGTTAAAAGTAAAATGGTAAATTCTAAGTAGGTTTTATGATGCTATTGATTGACATTAATGATACCGGATTTAATTAAGACCTACACTTCTGTTCAAATCATTTGGGCCTTTTTTAAAAAAAGAAAAAACATTAATACTTTTATTCATCAAGGACAAATTAAATGGATCTAAAGTGCCAGTAAAGACATTTATAATGTTACAAAAGATTTGTATTTCAAATAAATGCTGTTCTTTTGAACTTTCTATTCATCTGTGAATCCTGAAAAATAAAAAGTATCACCGTTTCCACAAAAAATATGAAGCAGCACAACTGTTTTCAACATTGATAATAATCAGAAATGTTTCTTGAGCAGCAAATCAGCATATTAGAATGATTTCTGAAGATCATGTGACACTGAAGATTGGAGTAATGATGCTGAAAATTCAGCTTTAATCACAGGAAAAAATGACATTTTAACAGATATTCACATAGAAAACATGTTTTAAATTGTAATAATATTTCACAGTATTACTGTTTTTTAATCAAATAAATGCAGCCTTGGTGAGCAGAAGAAATGTCTTTCAAAAAACATTTTTTCAAACAAATCTTATATGCAAATGTTATATTTTAAAATATATAGGATGAAAATAAATGCAAGATGTCATAATATTCTAGGACACAAATCTTGATTTTCCCACACTCCTTTGCAGGATTGGCGGTGCGGTTCCCATCGTGTTCTCATATTTTGCTGAGTTCCTGGCCCGTGAGAAGCGCGGGGAACACCTGAGCTGGCTCTGCATGTTCTGGATGGTGGGCGGGATCTACGCCTCAGCCATGGCCTGGGCCATCATTCCACACTACGGTGAGTGACAGCACCAATCGACCAATCATAAAGCTCCGCTTCTACTATACACTCTCAGAAAAAAAGGTACAAAAGTTGTTACTGGGGTGGTACCTTTTCAAAAGGCGCAACTGTTTACCTAAAGAGTCCATGTTGGTACCTTAAAGGTTCATATTAGTATCCAAAGTGTACATCTTAGTACCTAAAAGGTACAAAAGTGTACCTTTTGAAAAGGTACTGCCCCAGTGACAGCTTTTGAACTTTTTTTTCTGAGAGTGTATATCCAGTCATATCACCCAATGACTGTGCAGAAACAGTTATCAGTGAGACTCATCATTTCAGATTCATAAATCACAGCGGCTAGCTTCATTTGCATTTATGAGTGACTAAATAATTATATGCTAGTGCATGTAGAATGCACATTAAAATAGATTTTTGGAGCTTCTCTGTGGTTTTGCAATCAAAGGTGCAAAGTGTTTTTTTAGTTTGCTTCTTTAGTTTGTTTCTTTTTTAGTTGCTGGGGTGTTCTGGGTGGTTGCTAGGTGGTTTTATCCTGTAAATAATTTTAAATAATATACATTTAAATAATACACGAGACTCTGCTGTCCAACTAGCAGACAATGTTAAACATAGGCACAGAAGTAAATGCAATTTGTTCATTTTTGATACCTGTTTTTATTTGGTGATTATTTGATTAAATGTATAAATATAAGCAATTAAGCCAATAATGATTACTACAATAGTGGATCATTTATTAATATTAAGTATTACAAATTATTTTAGATCAATGAAATATTGATAAATAAATAATTTACTAAATTCACTAAATATATTTTAATATTAA